TGTATCACCTCGTGAATTTCATATTACTATTTAACTTCATATTATTATTTAACATTTATTTTCATGTACCACCATGAAAACACGCTCGTGAATTTCATATTATTATGTAATTTCATATTATTATTTAACTTCATATTATTATTTAACTTCACATTATTATTTAACTCCATATTATTATTTAACTCCATATTATTATTTATCTTCATATTATTATTTAACTTCATATTATTATTTAACTTTAACATTTATTCTCATGCGTCACCTCGTGAATTTAATATTATTATTTAACCTCATATAATTATTTAACTCCACATAATTATTTAACTCCACATTATTATTTTACAGCTGAATTTCATAAAGAAGGGCCACATTATTATTTTACAGCTGAATTTCATAAAGAAGGGCCCAGCTCATGTGAATTTCCAGGCCGTACCTTGGCCACGCCGGGGGCCTGGTCGCTCATGTGCAGCACCAGCTGCAAACACAGCCGTGAATTTCACATTATTATTGAACTTTAACATTTATTTTCATCTGTCACCTTGTGAATTTCACATTATTATTTAACTTTAACATTTATTTTCATGTGTCACCTTGTGAATTTCACATTATTATTTAACTTCATATTATTATTTAACTTTAACATTTATTTTCATGTATCACCTCGTGAATTTCATATTACTATTTAACTTCATATTATTATTTAACATTTATTTTCATGTACCACCATGAAAACACGCTCGTGAATTTCATATTATTATGTAATTTCATATTATTATTTGACTTCATATTATTATTTAATTTCATATTATTATTTAACTTTAACATTTATTATTATTTAACTTTAACATTTGTTTTCATGTATCACCTTGTGATTTTCATATTATTATTTAACTTCATATTATCATTTAACTTCATATTATTATTTAACTTCACATTATTATTTAACATTTGTTTTCATGTGTCACCTCGTGAATTTCATATTATTATTTAACTTCATATTATTATTTAACTTCATATAATTATTTAACTTCACATAATTATTTAACTTCACATTATTATTTAACTTTAACATTTATTCTCATGCATCAGCTCGTGAATTTCATATTATTATTTAATTTTAACATCTATTTTCATGCGTCACCTCGTGAATTTAATATAATTATTTAACTCCACATTATTATTTAACTCCACATAATTATTTAACTTTAACATTATTATTTAACTCCACATTATTATTTAACTCCACATTATTATTTAACTCCACATTATCATTTAACTCCACATTATTATTTAACTCCACATTATTATTTAACTCCACATTATTATTTTACAGCTGAATTTCATAAAGAAGGGCCCAGCTCATGTGAATTTCCAGGCCGTACCTTGGCCACGCCGGGGGCCTGGTCGCTCATGTGCAGCACCAGCGGCACCAGAACGTTCCAGGAGTTTCTGCGGACGGCGCTGCCGTCGCTCCAGGCCGTTTTGCCCAGCAGCTCTCGGAAGAGGCGGATGGAGCGCTCCCGCACGCGCTCCTGCTCCTGGCGAGGGACAGGGGATAAAAACAGGGCTGAGCGGTGAGGGGCTGGGGGTCTGCAGGGCACCAGAGGCCAGGGGAGCTCCCAGGGGGGGTTTGGGGTGGCCTCAGGTGTGTTTGGGGTGGCCTCAGGTGTGTTTTGGGGTGTCCCAAGGTGCCCCAGGTGTGTTTTGGGGTGCCTCAGGTGTGTTTGGGGTGTCCCAGGGTGCCCCAGGTGTGTTTTTGGGTGCCCCAGGTATATTTGGGGTGTCCCAGGTGTGTTTTGGGCCATCCCAGGTGTGTTTTGGGGTGTCCCAGGTGTGTTTTGGAGGCTTCCCGTGTGATCCAGAAGCCAGGAAGAAGCCAGAGGAGCTCCTAGAGCTGCCGGGCTCCCACATCACAACCTTACCGCGTCGAAGAGCCGCCAGAGGTTCTGCACCACCTTGGCAACCACGGGGCTGGCCTCGCTGCTCCTCAGCTGGCCCAGCACGTTCAGGCAGGTGTCCATGGCCATCACCGAGACGTCCCAGGACCAATGCCAAAGGAATTTCAGCAGCTCGGGGAGGAGGCCTCTCATTTTCCTTGCCTGCGTAAAAAAGAGTTTCTGTTGTTCTGTGAGAGCTTCCGTCGCTGGAGGAGGCGAAACAGAAGAGTGGATTCGAAATCACAGCAGCAGAGGTTTTTATTCCTGAGGAGCCTTTATTTCGGGGTTTTCAGCCCCTTTTATGAGGTGTTCTGATAAAGGTTTAACATGATTGGTAAGAGGAACAAGAGAAAAACACATTCGGAACATTTCTGGGCTGCTGTTTTGGGAAACAAAACCCTATTTACAAAACAGTAACCCTTTCCCGTCATATTTTTTCCTGTTTTCATCCCTTTCCTCCCCTCACGTTTTCCCGCTCTTTTTCTCCCCTCACGTTTCCCGCCCTTTTCTCCTCTCACGTTTTCTGCCATTTTTTCCTCTCACAATTCCACCTTTACTCCTCTCACGTTTCTCATTTTTTACCTGTTTTCAACCCTTTTCTCCCCTCACGTTTCCCGCCCTTTTTCTCCCCTCACGTTTCCCGCTCTTTTCTCCCCTCACGTTTTCCCACTCTTTTCTCCCCTCACATTTTCCGCCATTTTCTCCCCTCACGTTTTCCCGCTCTTTTCTCCCCTCATGTTTTCCGCCATTTTTTCCTCTCACAATTCCACTTTTTCTCCTCTCACATTTCTCATTTTTTACCTGTTTTCAACCCTTTCCTCCCCTCACATTTTCCCACCCTTTTCTCCCCTCATATTTCCCTTTCCCCCCTCACGTTTCCTGCTCTTTTCTCCCCTCACGTTTTCCTGCTCTTTTTCTCCCCTCACGTTTTCCCGCCCTTTTCTCCCCTCATGTTTTCCGCCATTTTTTCCTCTCACAATTCCACTTTTTCTCCTCTCACATTTCTCATTTTTTACCTGTTTTCATCCCTTTCCTCCCCTCACGTTTTCCTGCTCTTTTTTCTCCCCTCACATTTTCCGCCATTTTCTCCCCTACGTTTTCCCGCCCTTTTCTCTCCTCACGTTTTCCGCCATTTTTTCCTCTCACAATTCCACCTTTACTCCTCTCACGTTTCTCATTTTTTACCTGTTTTCTACCCTTTCCTCCCCTCACGTTTTCCCGCTCTTTTTCTCCCCTCACGTTTTCCCGCTCTTTTTCTCCCCTCACGTTTTCCCACTCTTTTCTCCCCTCACATTTTCCGCCATTTTCTCCCCTCACGTTTTCCCGCCCTTTTCTCCCCTCATGTTTTCCGCCATTTTTTCCTCTCACAATTCCACTTTTTCTCCTCTCACATTTCTCATTTTTTACCTGTTTTCATCCCTTTCCTCCCCTCACGTTTTCCCGCTCTTTTTCTCCCCTCACGTTTTCCCGCTCTTTTTCTCCCCTCACGTTTCCCGCCCTTTTCTCTCCTCACGTTTTCTGCCATTTTTTCCTCTCATATTTCCCTTTCCCCCCTCACGTTTCCTGCTCTTTTCTCCCCTCACGTTTTCCCGCTCTTTTTCTCCCCTCACGTTTCCCGCTCTTTTTCTCCCCTCACGTTTTCCCGCTCTTTTTCTCCCCTCACGTTTTCCCGCCCTTTTCTCCCCTCATGTTTTCCGCCATTTTTTCCTCTCACAATTCCACTTTTACTCCTCTCACATTTCTCATTTTTTACCTGTTTTCATCCCTTTCCTCCCCTCACGTTTTCCCGCTCTTTTTCTCCCCTCACGTTTTCCCGCTCTTTTTCTCCCCTCACGTTTTCCCACTCTTTTCTCCCCTCACATTTTCCGCCATTTTCTCCCCTCACGTTTTCCCGCCCTTTTTTCCCCTCATGTTTTCCGCCATTTTTTCCTCTCACAATTCCACTTTTTCTCCTCTCACATTTCTCATTTTTTACCTGTTTTCAACCCTTTTCTCCCCTCACGTTTCCCACCCTTTTCTCCCCTCACGTTCCCCATTTTCTCCCCTCACGTTTCTCATTTTTTACCTGTTTTCAACCTTTTTCTTCCCTCATGTTTCACACTCTTTCCTCCCCTCACGTTTCCCGCCCTTTTCTCCCCTCACATTTTCTCCCCTCACATCCTTGAGACACAAAACTTTCCCAAAAAACACTTTCCCTTGGGAACCACCTCTGGACAGGCTGGAAACTCCCTCAGGCTCAGAAAATCACGGCTCCCCATGGGAAGCACCAGGCCACAGCACTGCAGGGAATCCGGAACATTCCAAGCGCCACATCCTGCCCCTGCCAGCGGCCTTGCTCACCGTTTCGGCACCCTCCGACAGCGTCACCAGGGCCCTGAGCACCAGAGGAACCATCTCCATCCTTGAAGACCTCAGAAGATTCAGGCTCTTGTACAACGAGCCCACTTTCTTCTCCAGCACGTCTCCAGAGGCCAACATCTGGAAGGAAGCAGCAGAGAGCCCGGGCGGAGCTGGCGTGGAAAACAAAAAACCCCACGTGGAGTTTTGGAATTTCAGCTGGTGACTCACAGCCAAGAAAGCGAAGCAGGACTTCTGCTGCTGAGTGAAGACTTCCTTCTGGTGGTCCCAGAGTTTCATGTGCAGCTCCTTCAGAACCTTCTCCAGAGACTGGCGCACGGAGAACATGGCCTCCCACAGACAGACTTTATCGCTGCGAGGCAGGGCAAGGTCAGCATGGCTGCCTCGGTCACCCCAGCACAGCTCGGGCAGGGTTTGGGGCGCCTGGGGAGCTCTCCGTGGGGCTGGGAGAAGCTTTGGGAAGCGTGGTGGGATGGAGGGCGGCTTTTGGGGGTTCCTCGGGCCCGGCAGCCGGAGAATCTCGGGGTTCCCACACAGGGAAGAAGCGCTCCAGGCTGTCATGGCCGGTACCTGAGTATCGGCGCGGCCTCCAGAGCTGTGGTGACGACCAGCCCGGGCCACAGGTCGGCCATGAGGGCGAGCAGGGCATGGAAGCAGCGAGCGGTTGTGGCGTTTTTCTCGTCACAGTAGGTGAAGATGTGTCTCACCACCTTTGGCACCTGGAGGGAGCGCAGGTGAGGGCGGTGCTCGCTCAGGCAGGTGTGGGGAAGCCTCGAGGCGGCTTCACACCCCTGGATTTGGGAGGGAGGGAGGCAGGAACGCGGCTCGGGAGCGGGGCAATCCCGCCACAGGCCGCTTACATCCACCAGCCACAGCTCAGGGGATTTCATGGCCACCTCCAGGAACTCCATTGGCACCCGCTTGTCCAGGAGGCTGGAGCGTCCCAGGATCTCGATGGCGGTGAGGATGATGTCTGTCCTCTCAGCAGGCCTGAGGTATCTCCCAAAGGCCTGTGGCGGGAAGGAAGGGAGCAGAGGCTGCTGACCCTGACCCAAAACTGCTCGGCCCTGGGCAGGGGAGGATGAGGAGGGCCCCGGGGCAGGGAGGAAGGCTGGGGCCCTACAGAGACACCAGGGTTTGCTGGTGGCCGGCAGGGCTGGGGAGCTGCTGCTGGGCCACCACAGAGATCCCTGCTGGGGACAGCGGGAATCCTTCGCTGCCCCTCTCTCCCCTCACGTTCCCCACCATTTCCTCCCCTCATGTTTCCTGCTCTTTTTCTACTCACATTTTCTGCCATTTTCTCCCCTCACGTTTTCCCGCTCTTTTCTCCCCTCACGTTTCATGACCTTTTCCCCTCACATTTCCACCATTTTCCCCTCACATTTCCATCCTTTTCCCCTCACATTTTCCATTCTTTTCCCTCACATTTCCACCCTTTTTCCCCTCACGTTTCCCGCCCTTTTCTCCCCTCACGTTTCCCGCTCTTTTCTCCCCTCACATCCCCACCCTTTCCCCCTCACACTCCCCACCCTCCATTCCTCTCCACCCTCATTTTCTCCATTCCCCCGCCCCTCCTCACACCCAAACAGGTGACAACGGCACAGGTGACAACACCCTCACCTGAACCGTCCAGCTGCTGGGCATATCCAGGTAGGAAGCGATCTCCGCTTCCCAGAACGCCGGGAGCTCCGCGTGCACCTCTGGCAGCTTGGTGCCTGAAGAGAAGGGACGGCAACATGGAGGACGCGCGGAACTTTCCGGAATTCCCTCAGCCAATTCCTTACGTTTCTGCCGGGAGAGGAAGGTCATGAGCGAGCAGAGGATCTCCACCACCGTCCCGCTGCTCTCCTCTTTCCTCAACAACTTCAAGAAGAGATGGCCCAGCAGCTTGCCCAGCGCCGGGATCTCTCCGCCGGCAGCGCCGCTCTCCTCCTCCCCACCCGTCTGCAGGAAAACGGGTGAGTGAAAAATTAAAACAAAAATAAATTTAAAAAATGAAAGGTGTGGGATTTGAGGTTTGAAGGTGTTTTTGGGGGGGTCCAGGGCCTTTTACCTGCACGATGGAAGAGTCGGACAGAAAACGGCTCAGCACTTTAATCCTGCCCATCACTCTTTCCTGCACGGCCGCGGTGTCGAAGAAGAAATACTCCAGCAAAACCTGGCCAGAAATAAAAAATAAGTTGGGATTATAATAAATAATAATAATAAATAATAATAAATAGTATTAATGATATTAAATAATACTAAATATTAATATACTAAATATATATAATTAATATATATATAGGCTATACTATAAATATATATATAATTATGTATATATATAATTTATATATATAATTATATTATGTATATATAATATATATATTATATTTAATATATATAATATTATATATATAATATAAATAATATATATAATATATATAATATATATTATATATATATTATATATATAATATATATATAATTATATATATAATTATATTTAGTAATTAAATATTAAAATAAAATGGAAATAATATTAAATAGTATTAAATAGTATTAAATAATATTAAATAGTATTAAATAATATTAAATAGTATTAAATAATATTAAATAATATTAAATAATTTTAAACAATAAATAACAAATAATAAAAAATTGTTGGGATGAGATATAAAAAAACTTCTCTGAGGTTTTTTTATATTATCCAGTTAACAAATGGCAATGAATTATTTTTGTTAGCGGCCCTGTGTGCTGAACTGCGGCGTTTTCTATCCAATGGAAATAAAACTTCAGGGGATTTAGGGGGGCTGGGACCTCTCCTGAGGGGATTTGGGGGGGCTGGGACCCCCCTAAAACGGTTTTGGGGGGGCTGGGACCCCCTTGAGGAGGTTTTGGGGGAGATTTGGGGTACTGGGACCCCCCTGAGGGGATTTGGGGGGGCTGGGACCTTCCTGAGGAGGATTTGGGGGGGCTGGGACCCCCCTAAAAAGATTTGGGGTACTGAGACCCCTCTGAGGAGATTCTGGGGGTTTTGGGGTGACTGTGACCCCCCTGAGAAGATTTTGGGGGAGGTTTTGGGGTGCTGTAACCCCCCTGAGGATGTTTGGGGAGGTTTTGGGGTGCTGTGACCCCCTGAGGAGATTTTGGGGGTTTTTGGGGTGACTGTGACCCCCCTGAGGATGTTTTTGGGGTTTTGGGGTGCTGTGACCCCCCTGAGGACGTTTTTGGGGTTTTGGGGTGCTGTGACCCCCCTGAGGATGTTTTGGGGGAGGTTTTGGGGTGCTGTGACCCCTCTGAGAAGATTTTGGGGGTACTGTGACCCTCCTGAGGAGGTTTTTGGGTAACTGTGACCCCTCTGAGGATGTTTTTGGGGTTTTGGGGTGCTGTGACCCCTCTGAGGAGATTTTGGGAGATTTTGGGGTGACTGTGACCCCCCTGAGGAGATTTTGGGGAGCTGTGACCCCCCTGAGGGGATTTGGGGGGTTTTGGGGTGCTGTAACCCCCCTGAGGATGTTTGGGGAGGTTTTGGGGTACTGGGACCCCCCTGAGGATGTTTTTGGGGTCTCTCCAAAGCCCCCCCGTGTCCCTCCCAGCAGCTCCAGGTCTCACCTCCAGCACATCCTGGAGAACGGCGCCGGCGCGGGGAGAGCCCAGCAGCATCTCCTGCAGCATGGTGTCCATGGCCTGCAGCGTCTGCCGGGAAACAACAGCGCAAATCATCAAATTCGGGGTGAAAAACACCCAAAAACTCCTCAAATCAGCAAATTTGGGGTGAAAAACACCCAAAAACTCCAAAAATCAGCAAATTCGGGGTGAAAAACACCCAAAAACTCCTCAAATCATCAAATTTGGGGTGAAAAACACCCAAAAACTCCTCAAATCACCAAATTTGGGGTGAAAAACACCCAAAAACTCCTCAAATCACAGATTTGGAGTGAAAAACACCCAAAAACTCCAAAAATCAGCAAATTCGGGGTGAAAAACAACCCAAAAACTCCTCAAATCAGCAAATTTGGGGAGAAAAAACACCCAAAAACTCCTCAAAACGCAAATCTGGGGTGAAAAACAACCCAAGAACTCATCAAATCATCAAATTCGGGGTGAAAAACACCCAAAAACTCCTCAAATCATCAAATTTGGGGTGAAAAACACCCAAAAACTCCTCAAATCACAAATTTGGGGTGAAAAACACCCAAAAACTCCAAAAATCGCAAATTTGGGGTGAAAAACACCCAAAAACTCCTCAAATCATCAAATTTGGGGTGAAAAACACCCAAAAACTCCTCAAATCATCAAATTTGGGGTGAAAAACACCCAAAAACTCCTCAAATCATCAAATTTGGGGTGAAAAACACCCAAAAACTCCTCAAATCACAAATTTGGGGTGAAAAACACCCAAAAACTCCTCAAATCAGCAAATTTGGGGTGAAAAACACCCAAAAACTCCTCAAATCATCAAATTTGGGGTGAAAAACACCCAAAAACTCCTCAAATCATCAAATTTGGGGTGAAAAACACCCAAAAACTCCTCAAAACGCAAATTTGGGGTGAAAAACACCCAAAAACTCCTCAAATCACAGATTTGGGGTGAAAAACACCCAAAAACTCCAAAAATCATCAAATTTGGGGTGAAAAACACCCAAAAACTCCTCAAATCACCAAATTTGGGGTGAAAAACACCCAAAAACCTCCTTAAATCACAAATTTGGGTTGAAAAACACCCAAAAACCTCCTGAAAACACAAATTTGGGGTGAAAAACACCCAAAAACTCCACAAATCAGCAGATTCGGGGTGAAAAACACCCAAAAACTCCTCAAATCAGCAAATTTGGGGTGAAAAACACCCAAAAACTCCTCAAATCATCAAATTTGGAGTGAAAAACACCCAAAAACTCCAAAAATCATCAAATTCAGGGTGAAAAACACCCAAAAACCTCCTGAAATCACAGATTTGGAGTGAAAAACACCCAAAAACCTCCTCAAAACGGAAATTTGGGGTGAAAAACACCCAAAAACTCCAAAAATCATCAAATTCGGGGTGAAAAACACCCAAAAACTCCTCAAAACACAGATTTGGGGTGAAAAACAACCCAAAAACTCCTCAAAACGCAAATCTGGGGTGAAAAACACCCAAAAACCTCCTGAAATTGCAAATTTGGGGTGAAAAACACCCAAAAACCTCCTGAAATCACAGATTTGGGGTGAAAAACACCCAAAAACTCCTCAAATCGCAAATTTGGGGTGAAAAACACCCAAAAACTCCTCAAATCATCAAATTTGGGGTGAAAAACACCCAAAAACTCCTCAAATCAGCAGATTCGGGGTGAAAAACACCCAAAAACTCCTCAAATCCCAAATTTGGGGTGAAAAACACCCAAAAACTCCTCAAATCATCAAATTTGGAGTGAAAAACACCCAAAAACTCCTCAAATCGCAAATTTGGGGTGAAAAACACCCAAAAACTCCTCAAAACGCAAATTTGGGGTGAAAAACAACCCAAAAACTCCTCAAATCTCAAATTTGGGGTGAAAAACACCCAAAAACTCCTCAAATCACAAATTTGGGGTGAAAAACACCCAAAAACCTCCTGAAATCACAGATTTGGGGTGAAAAACACCCAAAAACTCCTCAAATCATCAAATTTGGGGTGAAAAACACCCAAAAACTCCTGAAATCAGCAAATTTGGGGTGAAAAACACCCAAAAACCTCCTGAAATCACAAATTTGGGGTGAAAAACACCCAAAAACTCCTCAAATCATCAAATTTGGGGTGAAAAACAACCCAAAAACTCCTCAAATCATCAAATTTGGGGTGAAAAACACCCAAAAACTCCTCAAATCAGCAAATTTGGGGTGAAAAACACCCAAAAACTCCTCAAATCATCAAATTTGGGGTGAAAAACACCCAAAAACTCCTCAAATCATCAAATTTGGGGTGAAAAACACCCAAAAACCTCCTGAAATCATCAAATTTGGGGTGAAAAACACCCAAAAACTCCTCAAATCATCAAATTTGGGGTGAAAAACACCCAAAAACTCCTCAAATCAGCAAATTTGGGGTGAAAAACGCCCAAAAACTCCTCAAATCTGCAAATTTGGGGTGAAAAACACCCAAAAACTCCTCAAATCATCAAATTTGGGGTGAAAAACACCCAAAAACTCCTCAAATCGCAAATTTGGGGTGAAAAACACCCAAAAACTCCTCAAATCGTCAAATTTGGGGTGAAAATAAATATTAATAAATAATAATAAATAGGATAATAAACTTTAATAAATGATCAATTGAATAATAAGTGTTAATAAATAATAATAAATAGAATAATAAACTTTAATAAATGATCAATTGAATAATAAGTGTCAATAAATAATAATAAATAGAATAATAAACTTTAATAAATGATCAATTGAATAATAAGTGTTAATAAATAATAATAAATAGAATAATAAATAATAAATGATCAATTGAATAATAAGTGTTAATAAATAATAATAAATCGAATAATAAACTTTAATAAATGATCAATTGAATAATAAGTGTTAATAAATAATAATAAATAGAATAATAAACTATAATAAATGATCCATCTAATAATAAATGTTAACAAATAATAATAAATAGAATAATAAACTATAATAAATGATCAATCGAATAATAAATGATAATAAATAATAATAAATAGAATAATAAATAATAATAAATGATAATAGAATAATAAATGATGATCAATCGAATAATAAATGTTAATAAAAAATAATAAATAGAATAATAAATAATTATAAATTATAATAGAGAGGATAATAATTGATAATAAATGAATTAAACCGTAATAGATAATAATAAGTAGAATAATAAATAATAATAAATAATAACAAATAGAATAATTAGTGATAATAAATTATAATAAATAGAATAATAAATTATAATTAATAATAATTAATAGAATAATAGATGATAATAAATCGAATAAATGATAATAAATAATAAGAAATAGAATAAAAAATGATAAATAATAATAAATAGAATAATAAGTGATAATAAATAATAATTAATAGAATAATAAGTGATAATAAATAATAATTAATAGAATAATAAATGAAAATAATTAATAAATGATAATAAATTATAATAAATGATAATAAATAATAATTAATAGAATAATAAATGATAATAAATAATAATTAATAAAATATTAAAATATTATAAATAATAATAAATAGAATAATTAGTGATAATAAATGATAATAAATAGAATAATAAATGATAATAAATAATAAGAAATACAATCATAAATTATAATAAATAATTAATGATAATAAATAATAATTAATAGAATAATAAATGGTAATAAATAGAATAAATGATAATAAATAATAAGAAATAGAATAATAAATGATAATAAATAATTGTAAATAGGACAATAAATTATAATAAATAATAAATAGAATAATAAATGATAATAAATAATAATAAATAGGACAATAAATTATAATAAATAATAATAAATAGAATAATAAATTACAATAAATGATAATAAATAGAAAAATAAATTATAATAAATAATTAATAGAATAATAAATGATAATGAATAATTATGAATTGGACAATAAATTATAATGAATAATAAATAGAATAATAAATGATAATAAATAATATAAATAGAATAAATGATAATAAATGATAATAAGTAGAATTATAAATTATTATAAATAATAATAAATAGAGTAATAAATGATAATAAATCATGATGAATAGAATAATAAGTGGCAATTAATAATAAATATAATAAAAAATTATAATTATAATAAATAGAATAAAAAATATTAATTAATAGAATAATAAATAGAATAATAAATTGTAATAAATAATAAATAGAATAATAAATGTTAAATAAAATAATAAATAGAATATAAAATTACAGTGAATGATAATAAATAGAATAATAAATTATAATTAATGATAATAAATAACAATAAATGGCAATAAATAATAAGAAATAATAAGTAATAATTATTAAGTACCCTTGTGTAGAGGTGCCCTTCCAGGACCTGCATCTGCTCCCGGGGCCGCAGGAAGAAGGCGCTGTCGAAGCAGGTCCTGAGTGCCGCCCGACCTTCCAGAACATTCCCCAGGGAGCTGTGGGTCAGAACCAGGACCTTGGGTCAGAACCTTCCCGGCCTTCCAGAACCTTCCCGGCCTTCCAGAACATTCCCAGCCTTCCAGAACCTTCCCGGCCTTCCAGAACATTCCCGGCCTTCCAGAACCTTCCCCAGGGAACTGAGGAGAGACAGCGGCACCGCGGGTCAGAACCTGCCCGGCCTTCCAGAACCTTCCCGGCCTTCCAGAACATTCCCCAGGGAGCTGAGGAGAGACAGCGGCACCGCGGGTCAGAACCTGCCCGGCCTTCCAGAACATTCCTGGCCTTCCAGAACCTTCCCGGCCTTCCAGAACCTTCCCGGCCTTCCAGAATCTTCCTGGCCTTCCAGAACCTTCCCCAGGGACCTTCAGGTCAGAACCAGGACCTTGGGTCAGAACCTTCCCAGCCTTCCAGAACCTTCCCGGCCTTCCAGAACATTCCCCAGGGAGCTGAGGAGAGACAGCGGCACCGCGGGTCAGAACCTCAGAACCTTCCCAGCCTTCCAGAACCTTCCCGGCCTTCCAGAACCTTCCCCAGGGAACTGAGGGGAGACAGCAGAACCTTCGGGTCAGGTCAGAACCTTCCCGGCCTTCCAGAACCTTCCCGGCCTTCCAGAACCTTCCCAGCCTTCCAGAACCTTCCCAGCCTTCCAGAACCTTCCCGGCCTTCCAGAACATTCCCCAGGGAGCTGAGGAGAGACACCAGAACCTTTGGGTCAGAACCTGCCCGGCCTTCCAGAACATTCCCCAGGGAACTGTGAGTCAGAACCAGGACCTTGGGTCAGAACCTTCCCGGCCTTCCAGAACCTTCCCGGCCTTCCAGAACATTCCCCAGGGAACTGAGGAGAGACAGCGGGACTGCGGGTCAGAACCTCAGAACCTTCCCAGCCTTCCAGAACCTTCCCATGGGAACTGAGGGGAGACAGCAGAACCTTCGGGTCAGGTCAGAACCTTCCCGGCCTTCCAGAACCTTCCCGGCCTTCCAGAACCTTCCCCAGGGCACTGACGAGAGACACCAGGACTTTGGGTCGGAACCGGAACCTTTGGGTCAGAACCAGAACCAGAACCGGTTTTGGGTCGGTACCAGAACATTTTGGGTTGGAACCGGAACCAGAACCTGTTTTGAGTCGTGACCAGAACCAGAACCTGGTTTGGGTTAGAACCGGAACCATTTTTGGGTCAGAACTGGAACCAGAACCTGTTTTGGATCAGAACTGGTTTTGGGTCAGAACCATTTCGGGTCGGAACCAGAACCATTTTTGGATCAGAACCAGTTTCAGGTCAGCACCGTTTCGGGTCAGAACCGGTTTTGGGTCAGAACCAGAACCTTTTGGGTTAGAACCAGAACCTTTTGGGTTAGAACCATTTCCAGAACCATTTTTGGATCAGAACCAGAACCGGTTTCGGGTCAGAACCAGAACCATTTTTGAGTCAGAACCGTTTTTGGATCAGACCCAGAACCATTTCGGGTCAGAACCAGAACCGCTTTTGGATCAGAACCATTTTGGATCAGAACCAGAACCGTTTCGGGTCAGAACCAGCACCGTTTCGGAAGGTTCGGAACCGGAACCGTTTCGGATCAGACCCAGAACCATTTTGGATCAGAACCATTTTGGATCAGAACCAGCACCGTTTCGGGTGGGAACCGTTTTGGGTCAGACCCAGAACCGTTTTTGGGTCAGAACCGGAACTGTTTCGGGTTGGAACCAGAACCTTTTGGGTCAGAACCATTTTCGGGTCAGAACCAGAACCGTTTTTGGATCAGAACCGTTTCAGGTCAGAACCGGAACCATTTCGGGTCAGACCCAGAACCATTTTGGATCAGAACCATTTTGGATCAGAACCAGCACCATTTCGGGTGGGAACCGTTTCGGGTCAGAACCATTTCGGGCCAGAACCGTTTTTGGGTCAGAACCGGAACCGGTTTTAGGTCAGAACCATTTCGGATCAGAACCAGAACCGGTTTTGGGTCAGAACCATTTCAGGTCAGAACCATTTTGGATCAGAACCAGAACCACTTTTCGGTCAGAACCAGAACCATTTTTGGGTCAGAACCGGAACCGGTTTCGGGTCAGAACCGTTTCAGGTAGGAACCAGAACCGTTTCGGGTCGGAACTGTTTCGGGTCAGAACCATTTCGGGTCAGACCGCAGAACCATTTTGGATCAGAACCGGTTTTGGGTCAGAACCGGAACCTTTTCGGGTCAGAACCAGAACCGTTCCGGGTGGGAACCGTTTCGGGTCAGACCCAGCGCGGTTCTGGGTCAGAACCAGAACCGTTTCGGGTCAGACCCAGCGCGGTTCTGGGTCAGAACCAGAACCATTTCGGGTCAGAACCGTTCCGGGTCAGAACCAGCACCATTTTTGGATCAGAACCGTTTTGGATCAGAACCGGAACCATTCCGGATCAGACCCAGTGCGGTTCCGGGTGGGCGCGGTTCCGGGTGTGTACCTGAGCCTGGGAACCGTTCCGGATCAGAACCAGCGCGGTTCCGGGTGAGCGCGGTTTCGGGTCAGACCCAGCACGGTTCCAGGTCAGACCCAGAACCATTCCGGGTCAGAACCAGAACCATTCCGGGTCAGACCCAGCACGGTTTCAGATCAGAACCGGAACCGTTCCGGGTCAGACCCAGCACGGTTCCGGGTGGGCGGTTCCAGGCCGTACCTGAGCCTGGGAACCGTTCCGGGTCAGAACCAGAACCATTTTGGATCAGACCCAGCACCGTTTCGGGTCAGACCCAGCACCGTTCTGGGTCAGAGCCAGAACCGTTTCGGGTCAGACCCAGCACTGTTTTGGATCAGAATCAGAACCGTTCCGGATCAGACCCAGCACGGTTCCAGGTCAGACCCAGCACGGTTCCGGGTCAGAACCAGAACCATTCCGGGTCAGACCCAGCGTGGTTCCAGGTCAGACCCAGCGTGGTTCCGGGTCAGACCCAGCACGGTTCCGGATCAGAACCAGAACCATTCCGGGTCAGACCCAGAACCATTCCGGATCAGAACCGGAACCGTTCCGGGTGAGCGGTTCCGGGTCAGACCCAGCACGGTTCCGGGTCAGAACCAGAACCATTTCGGGTCAGACCCAGCACGGTTCTGGGTGGGCGGTTCCGGGCCGTACCTGAGCCTGGGAACTGTTCCGGGTCAGACCCAGCACCGTTCCGGGTCAGAACCGGAACGGTTCCGGGTGAGCGGTTCCGGGTGAGCGGTTGCGGGTGGGCGGTTCCGGATCAGACCCAGCACGGTTCCGGGTCAGACCCAGCACGGTTCCGGATCAGACCCAGCACGGTTCCGGGTCAGACCCAGCGTGGTTCCAGGTCAGACCCAGCGTGGTTCCGGGTCAGACCCAGCGTGGTTCCGGGTCAGACCCAGCACGGTTCCGGGTCAGACCCAGCACGGTTTCAGATCAGAACCGGAACCGTTCCGGGTCAGACCCAGCACGGTTCCGGGTGGGCGGTTCCAGGCCGTACCTGAGCCTGGGAACCGTTCCGGGTCAGAACCAGAACCATTTTGGATCAGACCCAGCACCGTTTCGGGTCAGACCCAGCACCGTTCTGGGTCAGAACCAGAACCGTTTCGGGTCAGACCCAGCACTGTTTTGGATCAGAATCAGAACCGTTCCGGGTCAGACCCAGCACGGTTCCAGG